AAATTACACACAATTTCAGCTCAATATTTGTTGAACACAGATAAATTATAATCGATTAGCTGTGGAGGCTATCTTGAATTTTGAGATCCAGAGTAATTTAATTTACTTGTGTGGAACCCCCCACCCCCCAAAAAAAAAAAAAAAACCACCTTGGCCACCCCTGTGCCATCCTATGCAAAAATGTCTAGCTCCACCCCTGTTAATTAATCAAGACAACATTGTACCAACTGAAAAGCTTCTCAATTGACAAAAAGTGTTGTATGTAATCTTAATTTCAGTTTTAATAACTTATTATTCAACTAATAAATTTTCCTGTTAAATAAAACTGACTCATACACAAAGGAAGGTATGAAACATAGTTAAAGAACTTTTTTGTGGAATAAATTTGAACTGTTCAGTTAAAGCTCGTTTCCATTCTGAAGATCTTAATCCAAGCCTTTAATGTTTATTGTGTTATTTAATCACTCGTGTGTCTAAAGTGAGAAAAGTCTGGTTGACTGCCAGTACTGGATGTGTGTGCCAATGACGGCAGGAATAGAATAAACAAACACAACCATTAACCAGCCAACAAGCATGATGGGATGTCTATTGTCGTCTGGATAGGGAGCAGGAGATGAGGAAGGAGACAGGAAGAAAGAGTCACTCTGCAAAGATCCCTCACACACACACAGCGCTCAGACACACACAAATGTTCTCTCTTTTCCTTTCTAGTTTATTGTGTTTGACCCTCCGTGGGATCTCTCACATCCTGTTGTCCAGTTTTATGAGAAATAAGCTTTTCCTCTCAGCTCACATAACACAAGTTTCCAGTCTACTACTCAGCTTAACCAGCACATATTTGCTCTTTGACTTTCACAATAAAAAAATGTCACAATCAAAGGTTTTTAAGTCAAAAACAAGTTTAAAATACAGGATGAAATGTGTATCAATTCAGTTTCCACGTTCTCAAAAAATGCTAATAGTTGACAAAGATTCTTAACCATTGAAACTTATTACTCCTAAATGTTTGACCAGGAGACAACTGGTCTTATTTTGCTGGTTCTGTGGAATTTCACATCTCATCCAAAAGACTTTCAACAACGGCTAATAAAACCTGAAAATTCCCACATAATGTATGTACTGGTTTTTTAAAAAACATTATTTTTATTGAATTTCCCCAGTGGCCCACTGCAGCACAGAAGGCCAAAAGTATTATCTGCCCACCAACATTATAAACAAACATCTGCATACTGTTCACAAGAGGCCTCAAACTGTAAACAGTGTCAGTAACCACTGTTTGTATTACCAGTGCTTAAACCACTAAACAGAAGTAGATAGAAGAGACTCAAAGAAACGAAACATTTCAGTGGATGAATTGAAAGTGAAGCTTTGTTTTAATGAGATGATTTTAATAATTTAGTGAAATAAAGTGAAATACTGTTACAGATGCTACATGTGTGAATGTAATTCATTCCCAGTTCAAGGCTCTGTCACATTATGACATTTTTCACAAATTATGCCAATTTATGAAAAGTTTGTCCAACAYTAAACATGTCCAASATGAAGACTGAATTTAAAAAAAAATCTACTGGAAGCATCTTTTGGMCCTATWTAGACTGTATGGCAAACAGATACAATGTAAAGCTGATAAGAGTAAAATAGTCATAACAAAACTTTGACAAGTCGTAAAATGTTATGCTGCGTTCACACCGAACGCGATTTCAGCTTCAAAATCGCATCCAATGCTTCAAGTTGGTCGCTTGTGCACTTTGAGATCAGACGCAGGTCAGCTCTTGAAGCGCTGCACGGTAACATCCTCCCCGCCCCTCCCTCCTCTGTCAGGCTCTGTTTAATGTCAGACGAGGAAGTGGCTTTGCTTTATTTACAGAGAGCAAGAGCAC